TAGGGCCCCAGCTCCACAGACATTACTATCCTCCCTTTGACTACAATATGTACCAATACAAACATGGTCATTTTATTCGAGGATTAATTTAGACCCGGATTTAATTTTAAACTCTGTAGACTAACACGGCTTCACAAATCAAGAGAATCTACCGCATAGCGAATTGTTTGCCAAGGTCGTATAAGTTTGAGTTGGTTTATTTTCGCAGATAAGCATTATTTAACCGCACAGTCCGGAAACACAATGGAATTTACAAACTAGGTCTATTCAGAATAACAAACGCGAGTAAGCATATTATAACCATAGTGCAAGACGACAATCGGACCGAAGAGAAACTGAAATGGGTGCCAGTTGGAAATATTATCTTGTGACGATTCTGTTTCTGTTTTACTGTTTCAGCATTGATTCCGGTAAGCTTTTATTAATTCGTGTGATGAGGTTGGGCTTGAACTTTACCTAGCCTACGATTTTATACCAAGTACTTCTTTATTATAGCCCTAAAAAGACGTCATCGCCGCGCATTTATACTGTAATAACATTTGACTCACTGATGATCGGTGGTTATCTAATATAACCAAATTTAATTGGAATGGTGAAAGCATATGTATAGCAGTATATGTGTGTGTTGTAGGGTGTATAATGTATATAACAAACGATGTCCACAAACAATATATCGAGAATTATAGTTTGCGCGATGTACATATTAAACTAGTTTAAAATAGAGGATGCTTGGTATTGCGACATTTATGACGCATAAATGGCTTATAGTGGAAAGTACTCCCAAGGAGGATCCTACATCAAATGTGACGGTCGTACTGTAAAACAAAGGTGTTAGCTGAGGGGGCTTCTGAAATTTATCTAAATTAGATATAAATGTGAAGAAAATTGGGATCATGGGGTATCAGGTGATGTTAGATGCCTGCCTACAGGTAGGGCCATTCAAACCTGTGCTTGTGAATGAGAGTTGGATGCGTGCGCAGCAAACGATCCTGGGTTGTGCTGATTCATGCTATGTCGTGGGAATAGACATAAACGATGGTGATATTCTATAGTATAGGTGTAATTTTGTACTACGGTACCTGACGTGGAAATGTACTGAATACTCGCAAGCCCACAATCTCCAGATCGTATTCGATTTCACCCGAGAACAACTTGCGATTTTTTTCGCAATTGTTTTCAAACGTGCTGAGTATTCAGTACATTTCCACGTCAGGTAGGGCAAAATTACACCTATACATGTTTCTCCTGACGCAAATCCAATTATTGTCTATTCCATCACGACAATAACATTTATATCGATATTCGATAGGTTATGATTGTGACATGGCATCTCGTGGTATATAGAAGAATCATTAGACCGTAAAGAAAATAGTACGGTGTATTAGGCTCTTTGTAACATGGAGGTTATACCTCCATGTTTGTAATAAGTGTCAAATCAACTTAACTGGCCAATCAGAACAGGGCCAGGAATACGTGTTTTTTTTTAACCTTAGCAACAATATTCAATGGGCGGGGTTTAGAAGAAAGGTCCATCATGGAGGTATAAAAATAGAAGGAGAAACAACCCTTTGTACTTAACTGAGTTGCCGACACATTAAAAAAACCCATTAACCTCGGTATCGCACATCATTATCAATACCCTCAGGCAAGTATGCAAACGAACACATCCGAGGTCAACCATTCCTAGTT